TAGGTATAAATAATGCGCCACTTTTCGAGAACCCAGTTATATTTGTGTATGCTGTATGTAAATGTATGCATTAAACATATATGGGGTGTCCCAAATTTCACATAAGAAGAATTTTTGTATATTTGGGGGATGATTTTACCTCTTGAGAGAGATGATTATTTTTAAAAATGATTGATAATGTATGGGAGTACTTGTGTATAAATTACTCTAATGAATGTATTTCGAAACATTATTTTTTCATACATTATAATTATTTTATGTACTTTGAAGCCGATGGTTGAACTTCGGGGTGGTTTTACCCTCATTTAGGGGTATTTTCCTTCGGATCTAGTGATTGTGGGTTATTAACGGTTCAATTATCACGTATAAAAGAAAAAGAAAAAAATTGTAACTTTTAATATATTTTTTGCATTTTTAGGCCTTTAGGGGATGATTTCACCCCTTTAGGGATATTAAGGGTTGATTTTCAGTTCGGACAAGATCGTATCAAATACGAAATTAGATATTTTCACGTTCATAATATTATTTTGATAACAACAGAAATATTTGGGGTTTTACAACTGTTGATGATTCTTAATTTGTTCACTTTTTTTGTCTTTTCAACCCCTAAATAATGTTTCATGACGAGTTTTTGGATATTTTTATAATATTTTTAGGATTTTTCCTGTCGCCTCTGTCAAAGTCTCAAAACTAGGCGGATTTTGCGGTCACTCTTTATTTTCTAATAAACACTGTTAACATCTTGTTTCAGTTAATACGGTTTCTCTTGAAAACCATAAAGTTTTTTAAAATTTAACAGGAGTAAAAGAAATGTTAAAAATTAAATTCTGCTGTGAATTAATATTACTATTTTTTAATTCGGTCAATGAAAAAAAAAGTTCGGTACAATTTTAGGGGCGAGTCACCCCAATGAACACCTTGAAGTGCTTCAATTAACTTTAAATCATAGTCAAAGAAAACCGGTAATAAACCTAAATCATGTACCAAATTTGGTTCTTCTGCGGTAAAGTGTTGCAGATATTAATTTTTTTTCGAAATTTAGGGTCTAATAACTCCTCAGGGGTGCAACTTTATATATATATATATATAAAATACATATTTTATTTTTTATTTCGACCAAAGCTATCGCGTTGAAATCGCGAAATTTAACCACCTGACACCCTGTATGTGGTAAAAACGCAATCGCCGCTTGCGACCGCAACATGTTGCCGGCAAACGGGAAGTCGGGTCGACGGGAGAGCAAGATTGTAGCGTTCAGTTAAACTATAACGTTCGCAGATTACGGTTATTTGAAAACTATTTTCTCGAATTTGATATGTTTAACAAAGACAAATTTATTAAGTGTATACAAGACCATCCCTCGATATGGAAAAGGGGTTGTAAAGAGTACACTGATCGTAATTTAAAGGAAGACAGTTGGATTGCTATAGGAGAAATAATGTTCGACGCATGGGATGAAATATCAGATGAAGAAAAGCAAGAACAAGGTAAGGAAAACATTAAAAATTAAAACACGTTCATATTCTAAACATAAATAGTAATGGAAGTACAATTATATTTTGCTAAAGTTGTTTTTGAAAAGGTCAACCACAAAAGTTGTCGATAATTATTTTTTAGCGGTATTTTTTAGTATTTGTTTATATGTATTTAGTTGAGCATTTTATTATTATTAATATTCATGTCTACGTATTAATTGAATTTTTTTCTGAAACAGCGTTGGGTAAAAGGTACCTATTTAAAATTTATACTAAGGGTACCAGTTAAATTTCCCTAATACGCGCCTGTGATATTTGTAGCAACTTTAATTAACGGTCTACTTCCGAAGCATAGAGAAAAAACCTCAAAATTTTTAATCCAACCAGGTAAACATTTATCTTAAAAGCTTTTATTGAATCCATATAAATACCATCATTATATATCCAAAGGATGTACATATACAGAGTGATTTATTATTTGGATTTTTCAAAAAAAGGTGTTCACACCGAGAAACGTTCATAAGAGCCAAAAGAAAAATATATATAAAATAAAAAATACAACATTGAAGCGTATTCTGTATTAATTGGTTGACCGTATGCCAAGTTCCATAATACTCATATTGTTTTGCTCCAAAGGGCTGGTTCTTGAAGCATTGTTAAAATTTTTTCAAGTGATTATCTTTGCAATTCTTCATATGGTGTCTCGCGACAACGTTACTTGTTGCCTTTTAGCCCTGCCGAAGGTTTGTTGAAAATCGACGTTGTGCTTGAAGTGGTCAGAAACATAGCCCATAGAAAATATGTCGTGTAAACTGTGGATCTTGTTGGGTACACTTCAGCAGCCATTTCTTTGATGAGGAGAAGGGAATGAAACGACAAAAAAGTAGATGACTCTTCGTGATTTCACTAAAATCACCGTAACACTTATACAAAAATCAATATTGTTTATCTTATATATCTGTGGAAGGTCATTGTCACTGTTTTTAATGAAATCATGGACGGTTTTCAGTATATGTTTTTGGTTAGGCACAAATAAGTTCACAGAATCAATCTTTTAACTTATCCTTTTGGTATAAGTCTTTACCTTCTTGCTCATTCACTTGATCAGTTTTTCTCTTTTTTACAGTGAAAGAGATGAAAACTAAATGGAGACATATGAGGGATAGTTTCGGTAAATACATGAATCAGGTAAATAATGGAGATCCGGTTGTAAAGAAGAAGAAGTATATGTACGCCGACGCACTATCGTTCTTACTTCAATCGTTAAACAGAAGAAGGAAGTCGGGAAAGGCTACTCATCAAAACCAAGAAGACGACGGGACCCAATTCTCTTATGAAAATGATGAAGTCAGTGGAACTGACGAGGATATAGTAGAGACTGTGTTACTTACCGGTGCTAAAACATCGGTTTNTATATTACCTATATAATATAGTTTGTAAGTAAATTACAATATTTTGGACACCCCTACATGCACCTCCCCTGTGTCGGTTCTTATGCGGGACACCCTAGTGTGAAGATTATCATCTGTATTCAAAACATGGAAACTACAGAGATAGAGAACTACAGAGAGATCAAACCTCAAAAAAAAATATTTTATTGCTGTTGAAAAAACAACAAAATAGGTCGAGTTGGGAAAGATCTGCTTAAGATTATCAAATTGTTAATTCTTTATTTAGATTTAATAAAAGAGTCCAAATCAAAGCTGCCCGCTCTAGAGCCAGGTCTGACGATCTTAAGATTGTAAGTCTCCATGTAAACGCACCCTAAAGGCGGGTATCCATTTGTGTCAAATGCCCCGTAACGTAACACCGAACATGATACGTTACAGCTAGTGGACACGG